GATTTATTCATAAATTCAATACAAATTTCGAGTACGATATCTTTATTCAATCTAATGAAGTGTTAAACGTCTATACCCGTATTTAATCTACGCTTTTAACCTAGTGAGTTTACTCGTAAAAGAAAAATGCATATAATATCGCCTAAAATCTGTAGATAATTGATAATAATCAATTATTTGAAAAAATTTGAAGTTATTGTGAACTTTTATCAAAGAAACAGTGTGCGTGATGTCCTATTTTCTTTGTCAATGATATCTCCTGCTTCTTCAAAACTCAGATACCAATGGATTTTCAAAGTTACAACTAAACCATTCCAATTCATTTAAAAGATGATAAACAAAATCAAACAATTTCCAGAATGAAGAAGGATAAAATATTACATGTATATACCTCTGTTGCTTAATTAATTCCTCCATTGCTCCTCTGAGAATCTGTCGAGAGATATGAATAATACCTGTAAGAAATGAACAGGAAAGGCGGAGGACAAGCAATGTAAATATATTCCTAACATCAGCTTTTGAAGAAAGCAAAGAATCTGAAGTAACTGCATTATGATGTCAGGTTGTTTCCAAATTTTTGTCAACTCAGCTTGCTTTTCTGCCCCCCCATAAAAGACTTGTTTGGTTGGCAAACAGTGAGAAAGTTTTTTTTAAGTGTTGTTGTAATGTTGAAGGGCATGGCAAGTGGGAAGATGAAAGGGTTATTCCTTATTCTCTGTGAATGGAAGGGTATAATCGCACGTGCAATAGACAGTTGATTGAGGGAAACAATAATAGATTTTTTTTAAAAAAATTAATTACTGATATATAATTTAAAATATATTTTCATTTTAAAAATGGTTTCCAATTAAAAAATCATTTTAAATAATTGATAATTTTTTTTATCGAACAAATTTGCTGGTTGTTCTACTACAATAATTATGTAAATTTTAAAAATAATGTTAAAATAATTGTTAATAAAAAATATTTTAATGTTTAATTGAAATATTTATAAAGTATTCCTATTTTGCATAATATTAGAAAAAAACAAAAAAGTCATATATTTGAAAAATAACAATAAAAACTAAAATAATATTAAATATTTGTAATTATATATATAAATAAATTTTATGTATATTATATATAGATATTGATATAGATATATATTGTAAAAACTATTATCATTATATATGATATACATATAATTATATATAAATATAATATAAAATATTAAATATATATTATATTTTCATATAACATAAAGTATTTTTTATTTCATATATACATATGTTACACATAATACATTTCTAATGGAGACAACAATATACCCAGCAAATTATTGGGAATTTATACACCCAGCAACTTGCTGGATAAATATATATACACCAATTTTTTTTACCCATTATATATGCACAAAAAACACAGTTCACGTTTCCATTGTATACACATACCCATTACATCATAGCGTTTTAAGACACGTGCGCACGATCTCACTCGTGCGTGCTTTTCGCGGTCTCTCTACAAAATTTCAAAATCTCTATTCTTCTGTCAGTAAACCCTAACGCAAAGTACTCAATCAAATGCAAATCACAGAAGAGCAAAGAAAAAGAATCGAAGCAAACAGATTAGCAGCCATAGCAAAGAGACATGCTTCCCTGGAAATGCAAACCGGTGAACAACGACAACAGCAAGATCCATGGAGGTTCTTTACGTGTCGAAAAGCCACCTCCGTTAATAATACACATTTCACAAGAAAACCTCAAAATTCGTCGACGGAACCTGCTTCAGTTACCCGTCTGCCTGAAAAGTTCCGGGTCAGTCTCGAAATATGCTCGCCGGACTCATTTGCAGCCACACCGATCGCCATGCGGGGGTTTACCTACCCTGGAGAGGAGGAGTGTTTGCGGAAATTGAGTGACCTTTTATTGGACGTGAGTGATTTTCATTTCGTAAACACTTTTTTAGTAGATGAAGAACTGTGGGGAAATGGGTATTTTAGATATAAAAAATTTTACTTTTGGGATTACTAATGACTGCAACGGGTTTATTCTTTCGTTTCATTTTCTCTCTTTTATTATTATTTTTTATTTAGTTTTGTAATAAAGGTGAAATTTTATTGAAAGAAATTTTAGGAGGAGCTCAATTTGCAAAATTATTTCCTTGATTTATTTTCTGCAAGCATATGATAGAATGTGGGACGCTGAATAGTGCTTCATCTTCTTTTCGTTATCTTTGCTTATCATTTCTTTTCTCTTAGAATTTCAATTCTGTTAGCCAGTTCAATTAGTTTCTATTAGCTAGGTTCACTCAAGTTTACTACATAGTAAATGAGACTCCTCAAAAGATGCTAGTAGCATGGGCATAATGCTTACATGACTGGTGAGCAAACCTGATACGCACCAAGATTATGGGAACCAACACTCTCCAGGAACAACTTGGTTGCCTTGGGAAGCTCTTGTCAGCACTGCAGACGTTTAGAGAGGTTTTTATAGAGCTTAGGTTTTAGGAACAAAATTTTTTCTCACGTAAAGCTCGAAAACTAAGTTTCTCGTATCCAGTTTGAACTAGGAATGATTCAACGCCATATTACACTGCATGGTCGGTGTTCATTTTAATATTTGCATTTTCTTCTCTTTAGGTTATACCTCTGCACTATACACAAAATCACAGCGGCAGAAAGGCATGTGTTTATAAACTGAGGGACTACACTGCAATTTTGGCCTGTTTAAAGAAATCCAAGGGCATTGAAGTTGAAGAGATACCTTGGGTAACATACAATGTTATTGAGAAACTTTCGCATTCAATTGATTCTGGACGATGGGAGCCATCTAGGCCAGAACATTTTACTGATGAAGAGGTTGATAACTTGATGGGGAAGCTACCTAAATCATTATTGGATGCATTTTTGCCTTTCCAACTAGATGGTGTAAGATTTGCATTGCAAAGAGGAGGTCGGTGTCTTATTGCAGATGAAATGGGCCTTGGAAAGACACTGCAGGTGATTATTTGACAAAGCGTCTTGTATGTGTTCTTTGTACAGCTTGGATAATGATCATAGCTTCATGTCTACCTCAAATTTATAAAATAAAAAGCACACAATAGTTGATTTGTTAGCCTCTGGGTTGTTGGAGTATATATTGACATTTGTTCCTCGGTGGCAATGAATGAAAAGAAACAAAAAATAGAATGTTTATAGCAGTATACCATTTCAGCACCAGGTTGAAGGGGCAGCTTCATCTCTGTTTGTTTGTTCATTAATTTGTTATGTTATGTCAGCTATTTGGTTATAGTTTTGGGAGGGTGAGAAATAGGAATAAAATGCTATTTGTGGTAGAAGGCTTGGCACTAATTTCATGGGTTAGTTTTTTGATAAATTCATGGTCCATCTTATTTGTCGATCAAATAAACCATTTTTTCCCATTTTGTTTACTATTATATGCCGTAGAGTTTGGAGGCTGGTTGGTCAATGTAACAAAAGGATAAAAAAAGAAATGGGTAGATACCATGGCCTAGGCAATATGGATGGGCCTTGAAAATGAAAACCAGATAATTTCGTGGTGAAAGTTTTTTGTCTTTGTTTACTTTTAATATTTGTAACATGATGCGCTACTGTCAGAAAGGTTGCTAATTAAAGTTAAATTTTTCTTTCCATCTTGCCACCATTAATAGTATTTCTTCTTTTATAAAGTCCACTTTTTAGGTTATTGGGTTATTTCCTATACCTAAAAACCATGGTTATGCCAATAGAAATTGAGAACGTTCTTTGTTCTTTATATGTTAAGATGGGCAACCATCTCATGATCTAACTTGTATTTTATGCTATCACAGTGACCCTGTTCTGCTCTTGATATGTATTCAGGCTATTGCTATTGCTGGCTGTTTTATGGATGAAGGTTCGATACTTGTTGTTTGTCCAGCTGTTTTACGTTTCTCATGGGCAGAAGAGTTAGAACGATGGCTGCCGGGTTGTTTACCATCTCATATTCATCTTGGTAATGGTTTTTTACTTTCTTCTCTGCTGTGATCTTCTTTTAGTCAAGTTTAAGGATTTTATTTATGTGGCAACTTAAAAACTGAAAAAAGCAAATTTTGATTTTTGAATTCCCCAAAACCACATTTATCCAAAGTTTGGGCATTGAAAAATCAAGGCCAATCCCCATAAGGCTTTGATATTATATAATAAAATTAAATTAAATTTTCTTTTGGATACCAACCCAATAAAATGGGTTGAAAAATTTGAATTTGCTGGATCCG